CATGAATAATAACTTAATAATTTATGATAAAGATAATTTAGTTATCCAAATCACAAAAATGTATATATATATATATGTATATAATTAAAAGTTTTAAACTATTAAAAATACATATATTAAACTAAACACTTCCACTAAATTAATTTAGTGAAAAAAATAAGTTAATTAAAACACGCCCAGTAAACAATCTGATCTACCTTTTGAGTTCTTCTCATGAAATTCCATTTCCTGCTAATTATGTGGTGCTCATAACACAGTCCTATATATATATATGTATGTATATGTATACACACACCATATGTAAAATATTTATATCTATGTATATATAATATAAGGACTTATTCCGAGCTTTATGAACGTAACCAATAGCTGCCTTTTTTGGCGGCTTGGAATGGATGTTAATTAATCTCAAAGCAGCCTTCACATCTACACTTTGCCTTCAATATTACTTCTTATTAGTACAGTACAAGTATATATATATATGTGTGTGTGTGTGTGCATATATATATATATATATACACACAACTTCATGATCAAGAGACTTTTATCTAATTATAGGGTAATAATAATTTAGCTGCTTCAATCCCCTTAGTTAATCTTCACCATTTTAGCCAGCTCCACATCCCCTTGATAATAGAAATTAGGAAACCTTCCCACAAAGAAATATTAAAATATGGTTAGAAATTAGAAAACAGTTTACAAAATATTGTAATTACAAGTTAATTCATTGTAATAATAAGAGATATATATACACACACACACACACACATATACATATAAATATAAACTAATATATAAAATTAACCCAAGTAAACCATTATTTCTTTATAGTTAACCTTTTTATGTTAACTTTATTTTATGAATACATAATTATTTTATTTTTGAGATATAAAAAAGCCTTTTTCCAAACATAAATTTGGATTTGTTTGGATATGTATGATATGATATCAAGGAGGAACTATCCATTGGTCAACTTGGTACATATGTAATACATATACATATACATATATATATTGTTGAAGAATGAGGTGGAGGAAAGTATCAGAGAGAAGATATATTATGATATTAAAGAGAAAGAAAATCAGGGTATAAATATAAGTTACAATATATGTAATTAATTATAATAAAATATTCATTTTTTTCTGAAAATTTGTGTATATAAAAATATAATATTTAATTAAAAACACATCACTCAAGCAATCATTCTTAACACATATAATATATATATATATATATATATATATATATATAATCTTGAAGTTAATAGGAAAAAAAAAAAAAAAAGAAGCTGGGATGAAATCTTTGGTAAAATTTGAAAAGTACAGTCCTTCCAAAAAGAAAGAGAACTGAAAAGTAAAGGTGATCAGTATATGTAATTGTGAGTCAGCTATATGAATGTTGTTGATGCTCCTCCCTCCAACTATATGTATATATATATATATATGTATATATATGTATATGTATATGTATATGTATGCCATAGTTGATGATTTTGACAGTAGCTGAGGCCACGATCTATTCCAAGTACAATCATTCCTCTATCTAATATTTAATATAAATCTAACTCCTAATTATATAAATCACATAAATTATACATATGATATAATTAAGAGAAGCAATTCATAATAAACATAAAGTTCTTTCATCAGATCAATATATATATATATATTTGTATGGCAAATACCCCTCAAAATTATTATTTTTTTTAATGTGATGACAAAATTTTCTTCATATGTAACATTTGAAGAGCAGAAAACAAAAATGGTGTTTAAAAAAGGTAGGAAATTTTGAAACTTGAATTTTAAACTACGTATACAAGTATACATGTATATCATAATTATAGTCATTTATATGTTTTATGGACTTAATTTATACTAAAATTTATATATTTTAATAATCATATGATATTTATATACCAATAATAATATAATTAATGTTTAAATAAAAAAATAACTAATCAATTTTTTACACATGAAATATATATTCCGATCCAAACTCACAATTTTATAAAAAAAAAATTATTACAAAATCTAATTAACATCATAAAAAATAACCCAAATATTTTTTTTTTAAAAAAAAAACATAGAGACACACATATATATGTATGTATGTGTGTATATATATATATATATATCTTTCTTCCCACTCTTTCAATTTGAATTTTAAGTGCCTAGATCTCCTTTTCACCTAGCTACTAAATGATGAAAAGGAGAGTAAATTATTGCACTAAAAATCAAGCTGCAATTTGGTGTTATACCAACACACACACACCATACTATTAACTTAATTCATAATATATATATATACATATCACCAACTATTATATATATAGTACTAGATTAGGCAAATCTATGGTGCCCGAGTGACGCCATCTATACACGCCTATATGCTATACATTATACACACACACACACACACACACACACACACACACACATATATATATAGATTATTTTGTGATCTATGTAAATTCTGATGGTTCTAAATATAAACAACAATGGAGGTTAATCTAAAAGGATTAACTTATCACTAACAAGTTTATTATAATCAGCACTAATTTGCTAGTAAAATTCCAATTCCAATTTGCTTCTCTTTGGACAATGTCCTGAAGGTTTGTCTGTTTATATATGTATACACACATACACACACACACACATATATATATATAAACTAACCCAAAAACTAAAATGATGAGCGCTAAAATAATTGAAAAGAAAACACGTCATAAGCAAATTTTATGATTGAAAATGAAATGTGAGCCCTATATTAACATTTTTCAACTTTAGATATACCAAGAAATATACATACATTTATATAGTACAAATGTCAATTCCGGATTCTAATTATAAATCTACATTTGACAAACATATATGTATATGTGTGTCAAAATATATGATGCCAACACATTTTGATAATCTTATCACGTAATTAATTTCCTTTTGAAAAGATATGTGTGTGTGTGTGTGTGTATATGTGTTGACTTACACCTGCCGCCAAGATTGGTTCAACAAGTCTGTGGGTTTACCTGCATTGTTACCCTGACATATATGTAGGTCACTAATTGGCTTGTTAAACCTTATTAATTAGTTAATTAATTGGGTAATTAATGAAAATAAATGAGTTAATTAATGACTTAAATTAAATTAATAACAATTTACCTGATGACTCTTTCTTCCTGGACTAATTATTTGGTAATTCCCATAATTTATTTTCAACGCTTTGACCAATTTTCTTCATCGTCCCAACCTCAATGCATTCTCGACGTCCAGCCGCCATGCAAACCCACCGCAGTCCATCCGCCAAACGTCACATGGCAAAACCATTCTCAAACACCTATCCTTCTGCCACGTGTACTGCACCCTCACTCTACACGAAAACGCACCGTTTAACGCGCTCACCGGCAACTCCTCCTTCACCACCAGCCAGACCTTTATCTCCGGTGACCGTGACAGTCCGTCACCTTTAAAATTCCCAACATCTCGGATCACCATCCTCTTATATGCTCCGTTTACCCACCGCACTCTATTTAGACCGTCGGATACAAACGCGGGACACGTGTCCGCATCTAATCTCCTCACCCTATCCGCATCCGTGCTCCCTAGCCGACGGTCATGATGGTGTGGTGGGGGGTCTCCTACGTCCATGCACACGCATGTCACGCTCTCCACCGTCACCCACGACTCAACCACCACCGTCTGATCATCATCATATCCATCATCACCATCATCATCCCGCATCGTCATCGAACCCATCATGGTGTGAGCAGTATTATTACAATCATCAATCTGGAAAGTCATCAACCCTCGCTTCTCCACAACCCTACGATCTTCAACCCCATGATCTAAACAAGACACGTGTTGCTCCCTTATTGGGCTGTCAGCCGATCGCTCAGGCAACAATTGAAGGGTGACGAGGTTGTTTTCGTTCGGACTGTGATGATACTCTCGGCGTTCTTGATCTGAAGATGGCAAAGATAATATTCTTCGGATCTTATTATTTCTGTTATTATTATTGCTATTTCTCTTGTACCGATTATTCTCGCGAACCCTAACGTACTTTCTCTTAGTTCTTCTCTTAGATACCAACTGGGTTTTGTCACCAATTTGCAAGTGACCAGAAACCGAGCATCCAGTCACCGGTTTCGGCGCAATCGGCCGGAATCGCAACATTATCCTATTGATCATTGTTTTATCCTGCGCATCCCCCGCGCATCTTAGCATGCTCCACGCTTCTCCACCTTCCATCGCCACAACTGTCACCTCTCTCTCTCTCTCTCTCTCTCTCTCTCTCTCTCTTTCTTTTTTTCTCTCTCTCTCTCTCTCTCTGTGCAAGATTAGGGCATAATCATAGAGGCAAGAACAGACTGTGACACTGAAGAAGAAAAAAACAAAAAAAAAACAGAAGGGAGACACGTGTCTAGGGCAATGCTAATACGGGAGAAATCTGATTGGTTAAATATTTCCGAAGTGGGTCCCACGTTAAAAGCGAGCGTGATTGATCCTCCGATGGGTCCCACGGGAAAAACCAATCAGAAAAAGGAAAGTGTCGAGCACTCCCGAGAAAAGTGGTACACGTGGATATTTCCCGATGGGAGGGTGAGAGAACCGGTGGGTCCCTTCTGTTTGAGTAAAATAGGAAAATAAAAGGAGAGAGAGAATTCGAGCATTTGCGGAAAGTTCGAGAAAGTACAACACGTGGTGCACGCGAATTCGAACAAACAGAACATCGAACAGTTCAAAATTTCAACCTTTTCCCGGTTGGAGCGTGACGCACACGCTCCTCTTGGGGCATTGTTAAGGATGTTCCCCGTACAACACTGGCGCGTGCTGTGTAGGGAACAAGGGGGTGGGGTTTTTGAGAGGAAGGTGACGCGTGGACGGTCCGATAATGAGGAGGATCTCGGATTGTGATTTGGATGACGTCATCAGATTTGAAATGCTTAGATTAGGATTGGTTCCTGTTTTGCTGCCACGTGCACTTTTTCCATGTGATTAATGATTATCCCTTTCTTTTACGAATTTTCTTTTATTTTTTTCACCTCATATTATTTGTTCATCAAATTATCCAATCAAATAACATGTTGATCATGTATATATATATATATATATATATATATATTCACTTTCTTTGAGGTTGATGGATTCGGTTTGGCTTTGAAGAATTATTCTGTAAGATTTAGCCTTTAACGTATTCTTTTTCATTAGTTGTCACATAAAAATTCGTCATAATTATTTTATTATTTTTTAAAAAATTTATGTATTAAGATGACGATAGTATTTGATTTTTTATTTTAATTAAATTAATTTTAAAAACAAAATTTGATAATCATTAATTAAATGATAATTAAATACTAAATATAGTATAAAAAATATATAATTTCTAGCAAAACATATACAAGTATTTGAATAAATATACCAACCAATCATTCAGATAAAAATACTAAGTGATTGTTATACACTCTTCAAACTATTTAATTCACTTTTACATAATTTATTGTACTTATTTAACAAATAAAGATCTAAAATAATATGTATTTTGTAAAATTTAAACCTACGTCAGTATATTTTGTTTCAAGATTCAAAGATTGAATTGAGTCAATTTCCAAACTTTTTTTTTTTTTTGTTCATTTTGTTAGACATGATAGAGATGTGTAATTTGAGTTCAAGTCATCAAATACGTAGTTAGTAAACATTACACGTAAACCACGATTTGTATTGTAATTAGGTTAAAGTTAGTAGGTAGTATGGTTATAAAGGTTCAACATATGTACTTTTTTTTTTTTTAATTTTTAAAGTCAAAAGTTAAAGAGATTAGAACTACTATTGAGTTTCTTTTCTTAATTATCTACTTTTTGAGTCCAAGTTTTTCTTTTACTTCATTGGTGTCAATTTCAATGCCACCAAATTTATATTCATCTTTTTTGAGATTTCTAAGATTTTACTAGTTGCCTAAACCATTATACACTAAGAAGCAAGAAAAGTTTTTTTAAAAAAAGATAACTCTCCTCACCACCTACATCAATCTCTCTTCTCTCTCTATACATATTATATACATATATGTAAGTTTTCAGACTGAACATATACAATAACCTAATTAAGGTCCTAAACACTACCTCACCTTAGCTAAACAGAACTTAGAGCCAAAGAATCCAAATCATCCACGTATCATGTCTATATATATGTGTGTGTGTGTGTGTGTGTGTGTAGATATGGAGGAATATGTATTAGTTCCTTGAGCTGATCAAACTCATATATAATCAGAAAACAAATGTGGCCCACTGGAACTTTTCTTCAATTCCATGCGTGGCAACAAGAGAGTCAAGCACGTTTCTTATATAGCTTTTAATCCCGTATCATCAATCCATTGCTTTGATCTCGCTTTGATCTTAACCACTTAGCTACATATCTTTATCAATCTCTTTATCTTTAATTATTTCCTACTTACCTTGGTTTATATACAGATACCAAGCCTTATATATAGATATATGTATATATTCTATCATCATCTTCTTCTTCTCCATCTTTTAGTTACTATAAGTACCCTACACCCTCATTAATTCCCCATAAGATTTGTCTTAAAGAAACAAATATATATATAATAAGTATAAATATACCTTTGTTTCTTGAATAATTATCTCCGTCTTCCTCAATGAGTTTACAGACCCAAACTGAGCGCAGCTTTAATGTCAAGCCTCCATGCAAGACCTCCATTAAAATCCATTCTCCAAACATCACAGGGCACCATCTTCTGACACTTGTTGTACTGCACCCGCGCTTGACATGAAAACGGTGCGTATTGCCACGGCAGCTTCTCTTTCACCACCAACCGCACCGCTACTTCTCCGTCCGGTCCCGTTACACCAATCATTCTCCGATACGCACCGTTTACCCAACTGACCCGGTTCGACCCGTCGGATATGAACCCGGGACACGTGTCTCTCTCTAGATGCTCCATTATTCTCTCTACGTCGAACGTGCCCGAACTACTCCCGTTCAGTTCGGCTCCGCTCATGCATGCGTCGGTCACGCACTCCACCGTTACCCATGACTCAACCGGCCCCGTCGGATCTGTTGCTGACGGCCCGATTTCCAGCCACGTGGGTGGGTTTTGATTTTCTTCATCAACGACATGATATTCTTGCATTACCTCCGCCGTAGGATCAAGATCGGACGATGACGGTGGATTGTGTCTCGGCTCCTTGCATTCATCACCGCTCTCCGGCAGCAACTGCAGTGTGACCACACCTTGTTCTGATCTCTCTTGATCTGACGAGCTATTTTTGTTATTATAATTATTCTTATTATTATTATCATCTTTTTTCCTGGTATTATTCTTGCAAACCCTAACGTACTTTCTCTTAGATCTCTTGTTGACAAGCAGCAGGCTCTTGTTGTCAGATCCTGGGTTACCCGGAAACGGCTCGCCGACGGGAGGGTTCGGGGCAATCGGCCGGAATGTGAGCATCAAGCGATTGATTATCGTTTTATCCTGCGCACCCCCCGCGCATCTTAGCATGCTCCACATGTCTCCAGCGTCCATAAATGAAACCCACTTCGTCTTCTTCCTCTCCCTCCTCTCTCTGTATTTCAACACCGAGATTATCTCCCTTTTTCTCTTGCTTTTTTTTCAGAAGAAAAAGAAAAAGCTTCGACTTTTATCGTTCTTGGTTTGTTTTTTTTTCTGCTGGATTCACTCTCTGTATTTTTATATAAAAACCCTAACTCTCTTCTGCACTCTCCATCTCTACTGACTCTCTCTCTCTCTCTCTCTCTCTCCCTCTCTTTCTGGCTCTTTTTTTTTTCGGAGCCGTGTGAAAGCGATAATCATAGCAGAGAGCTTCGTGGTGGAATAAGAAGCCAACGCGTGTCGAGGGCAACAATCGGGACGGAGACGAGACGTGATTGGTCGGACTTTTTATCATGTGGGTCCCACTGAAAAGACCAAGGCATCCATCCGTTCCTGTTTTTGATTGGCTGTGGGGTTTTGACCAATCAGAGAGCAAAACGTGTCTGTCATTCTCTGTGAAAAAGTTGCAATACGTGTCCCCTTTCTTTGAATAAAAAAAGTAAGTGGGTGTCGTTAGTTTAGTTGGTGAAAATGATTAATAATAGTGGTAATATGTGTTCATAAACATTTTTATTTTTTTTATTTATAATTTTATTTTGTGTAAATTATAAGGAGTCTTAAAATTTTTATTTTAATTATAATTAGGTGTATTAATTTTTATTTTCCATAAATAATATAATTTGGTTACAAATTTTGTTAAAAATAAAAATTTTAATTAAAAAAATAAAAACTATGGTTACCAATTTTTTGCATAATAAAAATTAATAATTGAATTATATATTATAATATGTTTTATATGTAAAACCATATAGAATTTATATATATGTATAAAAACTAAGCACGAGTTAGATTAATTTTCTAAGAAAATTTGTACATAAGGTTTTGTTCGCGTTATATAATTTATGAAAAATTAAATTTATGTAATCAGAGTAAATAGTATATTTTCTTGTTACTTGAATTAATAATTGAAAGTAACTCAAAGTATATCTTCTTGTTAATTCAATTAACATATTGTTTCATGTTGTTATATTGCATGTCTTGGTAATATGACATGGTATCTCAAAATATAAGTTTAGTTATAGTTAATTTTATTTTGTCAATATAATTTAAAATGATAGAGTAAGAGTCTATTTAACGCAACTATTGATTGTAATTTTTATGTTTTAAAATATATTTAATATTAAATAGATAAAATATAAAGTATTTTTGACAAAAATTAAAGTTATTGACACGTTTGAAGTTAAAAATTTTCATATGTAACTTCTAAAAAAATAATTTTGACATTTACTATAAATTTACACTTAAATTTTTAAAAGTCAACTTTATAAAACATAAAACTTATATTTTTTGTTTTAAGTGATAACACTTTTTGTGACTATTTATACTAAACACTAAATAATTTTTTACTATAAGTAATTTTAGTTGACGACTATTTTAATAACGAGTTTTAAACACATATCATAAGTCACAAGTAGCCAAAATGTCCACTAAATTTTATAATGATAATTATTATTTTTTAAAGATAAAAGTTCTCTTAAGTATAAAGAAAACAATTTTTGAAAAATTTACATGTATATAAATATTTAAAATTGAAATATATGCATTAAAAGGAATTAGCAATATTATTTAATGCATAGAAAATAAAATTTTCAAATTATCACAAGATATTAGACTATTTATGTAACAGCAAAAAAAAAAAAAGAGGAAAAAAATGAGAATAAAATATATAAAATAATAATAAATAAATAAATGAAAAAAAAGGGAAAAGAAACCCTAAGGGGAGAAGTGAGGGGCGTAGAAGAAGAATAGGGAGAAGAAGAAGAAGGGAAGCGGGACGAGCAGCTAATCCTTACGAGGTAGAGAAACGACAGTTGGAGAAGAAGGTTTGCGTGCGATCGTCGCGTGACGTGTTGAGAAGAAAGAATCGCGTCACAACAAGAGAGAAGAAGGGAGGCGCAGCGAGCAGAGAGCAGATTCACTATTGGCATGCAACATGACGACAAAGAAGGAAACTTAAAGGTGTGTGTGCGGCAGGGAAGGATCGATCGGATCGCGGGAAGGCTAGATCCTGACGGATTTGCGAGATACATTTCGGACTAGCGTGTCGCAACTTTCTGGGTGATTTTTGCTCATTTACGGCAGCGAGTGTTGACTCTAGCAAAGGCTCATGCGATGACGCTTAGGATTACAATACTTTTTCCAACCAAACTCCAGGTAAGAATATATCAACCATCTCCGTAATTGCTTAATCGAAGTTTGACCTTTAGATCGCCTAAAATTAATTGCGACTTTAAATTTAACTTATGTGAGATACTGATGGTGATGATTCAACTGATTTTATTCAAGTGCTGGTATATAACTGATTGTGCAACTATATTTAGTTACTTGGAATTTTGTATTGTATGATGAGTGGATATACTTTGCAAGTCAACGTGCAGGAAAGACCATTCATGATTGTTTGTGTGAGTAGGATGTGTGTGTCAGTTTATGTACTTGTATTGTGGTGAGTGTGCATTCTAGTATATTTGTCTACTGAGAATGTGTGCATCAGTGTAGGTATATAAATAAATGGTGCATGCGGTGTCGTAAAAATATATATATATATAGATAATCTGTATATATATAAAATACATAAGTCAAGTACCTGTTAAATAAATTATATTTAATTATTTATAAATATAAATAATAAACTGTGTGTGTTTGACATATATATACGCATGAGACTATTTGCTTAATATACGGTGTGTGTGCGTGCTTGATATGTATGCATATGCATAGTTGGGTGTGAATTTTTATTTTAAAATATAATTATAATATTTGAGTTTTAAAGTTGGAACATGAAACATAAATAATTATTGATGAGGAAAAAGCTTACCGAATATCATGGGAGATAGTGTACGGACTTGATACATAGGATGAACCCTAAAATGTATGTATCCTCAATTGTACAGGGGTAAGAAGTCTCATACTGAACTAGGTTAGGATTTTGTTAAATAACACTGATACCGGATGGGGTATTGAGTTGGTTTATAATTATGTTGCCCATTACCGGACAGGGTATGGAGACGTCTGATGATTACAAAGAAAATGTTTGTGTATCTACGTGTAGCGAAAATCCCTAAGGGTCCTCAATAATACCAGTAATAGAAATAACAACAAGTAATAGAAATAAAAATGATAAATAATACTGCTAAGGTGAAATGATAAGAAACTCAAAGTTTCACATTTATTGAGATGCGTATTGATTATATTTCTCACTATGATTTTAACGATATTTTAATGTTGTGTATGGATGATTACGTGAACTAATAGTATTATTATTTTTTTAAATGGAAGATCCCTTGTAACGGCCCCGGAAATAAAAATAAAATGCATGTATTAAAAAGTTCTAAGTGCGGAAGCGAAATAAAAATTTTGAGTAATATCCCTTAC